AGTCCTCTCTAGTTCCTGTTTTTAAGAACTCTGAAGAACTTTCTGACCCCTCTAACTATCGGCCTATTAGTCTCCTACAGTAAAGTATTGAAGCTTTAATCAATGTTGTAGTAATTAAGCATTTTACCTCTCACAACCTACTCTCTGACAAACAATATGGATTCCGTTTCGCTCGTCCGTTTCGTGCGTAAACGGCCATCTCTGAATATGTATATCAAGCTCTTGATAATAATGGCGAAGCTCGAGATGTGGCTCCAGATATCTGAAAGACATTTGACAGGGTTTAGCATGCTGGTCTTGTACGTAAGCTTCACGGCAACGGTATTACAGGACGATTGTCTGATTTAATCCAGTCATTTCTATCAAATCGTGAAATGAAGGTCGTTCTGGACGGGCTCGCTGCCACATCCTTTCACACGAATGCAGAAGTACTCCAAGGCTCTATTCTGCGTCCTAAGTTGTTCCTGATCTTCATCAATGATCTTCCCGATGTCATCATTTCCCATATAGGCATTTATGTAGATGACACTACCAATTACTCTTGTCTCAATAGCAAATCCGTCAAAGTTAACCTGACCGATCCTCTTGAAAAGGACCGCCAATTAGTGGTCAACTGGGACAGGAAATGGCTTGTAAATTTTAATGCCTTCAAAACTAAACTTCTGAAATAGAAAATTATATTATGTAGGGGTGGCAAGACTTTCGGAATAACCTATACTATAATAATATACTAAACAAATAATACCATATGATAAAAAAAAACTAAAGGAAATTATTATTTTACCCAATACTAATGTGGTTGTAGAATTCTTTTGTTTTTTATGCTGACTTGTCGCAATAAGCGATAGAAATAATAATTTTTAAAAATAGGTCCAGTTTATATACAAAATCCACCGGAAGTCTTAATTCACGCGATGCTATTTAGTTGATATTTTAGTAAATATTCGCATGTAGATAATTTTCTTTAAATTAGATCACATATTTAAGAAGAATCCTCGTTGCTTCACTGTGTCATGCCAAAAACTTTTCCACGTCAGAAGCCATCTTGTCCATTTAGAAATCTACCATCCGTCCGTGTATTGAAGACTGTTGTCATATTTGGTCTGGTGCTCTTACTGTGCATCTCGAGATTCTTAATAAAATCCAAAGAAAGATCTGCAATACAATAGATCCTGACCGGGCATCTCGTCTCCAGTCACTTCCTCGCCGACATGACGTAGCTTTCCTCTGTCAATTCTACAAATGTTTTCTTGGTAATTGCTCGGACTAGGGTTTGTGTGTGTGTGTGTGTGTGTGCTGGCGCCACGACTACATGAATTTAAGAGTGCTACTAGATTGGCGATTAGGTCTCACTAAACTAGCTAGATGCAACCATCACCAATCTATTTGTAAATTTTTTTTTCTCACACTTCCGATTTCTTGCTTCCCTCTCTCCTGCAATCTTCAAAAATTGAAAGTTCAATGTTAATCGCCATTTTCTAACTTCTTGAAGCCAGTTTCACTTTTTGGGTTTTTTTTTTTTTTTGCCTTTTCCTCAAGAATCCTTATTTTCAATATTCTTATTCACTTTCACTTCCTATGACCCCATACATTTTAGTGGCATTATTTCCTTGCTTGGGGAGAAACGATTAAACCAAAACGTATATCACATACTTAACCAGCAACAAAATGGTTTCCTGAAGGTTTCTGCTCTTTTTTTTTCTTTTTTTTAATACAAATGGAAGATAAAATGCTGTAATTTATGTAAATAATTAGCAGAATTTTAACCTGACATTATTATGACTCTCCCCAACTTCCTGTTTTTTTTTTGTTTTTTTTTGTTTTTTCTGATGCTCTAATTAATCTCTTACTCTCACGATTCATTTTTGTCCTTGTTCAACTATCCATTCACACTAACTCATTTAATAGATTATTCACCGAGTGGACCCAGAATTTTCGCCTATCGCGATAAACGGATGTTCTCTCAGAGAGGCCTCGAGCCTTGGGAGTCTAGTGGGAGATAAGTTCCACTCAAACCTATACCGGTCTAGTAAGTAACTGACTTCTCCTGCGACCCTCTTTCTTTACAAGAGCCAAATCAGACCGAAAATGGAGTACAGCTGTTATATATGAGCAAGAACTGCCCAGTCTTCACTTTCTAGTCTCAGTAGATTCCAGAAGCATCTCCGCATCCTTGTGTGTGATGAATTATTTTTTAACTCTGCATCCCCTTTACAACACACGAAACGTCGCAAGTCTCTCCCTGTTTCCATGGAAAGTGCTCAGACGAACTACACCGCTTAGTTCCACAAGTTCTAACCCTCTTGTATAAGACCCGCCATGCTATGCACATTGTCGCGAACCACCTTTATCCCCTTTGTATTCCATTGGTGACCTGCAAGTTCCACTCGAGCCGTCTCTTCCCACCAACCGCTGTTTCATGGAACCAACTCCCAAGAGGATCGTTCCCCGATCACTAAAATCTTAACCTGTTCAAGTCTAGGGTTAATCGTTATTTTTATCACGTATTCCCATAAACAGTGCTTCTTACTTTGTAACCCTCTACCTCGAGCGGCTCTTGGGCCTTGTACAGGGTGAACATCATTGTAAAGAAAAAAAATATTCACTGTTTATCCCCGCCCCAATAGCCGCTACTCTTCAAGATCTTCTGTGTCCCATTTCCTCATTATGCCTCCCACGATACTCTGTCTTTCTTACTGTAAGTTTAAGTTTTGGAGAGTTCCCATTTTCGTTAAAACTTCCTCGTTTCTCACATGTTCTGTTTATGTTATTCTTTGAATTCATCGGTAGGATCACATCTTTGTTGTTTTAGTTCTCTTTTTAATTTGTGGGCCTTCGCTGCTATGTAGGAGGAATTCAACACCTCATTTTGGGGGGTTTTTTTTTTCATTTCTGACGATATTTTCCTATGCTTTGATACTTTGCTTAGCTTCTGAAAGACATATTCCGCTATTCTTATTCACCTTCAGATATGGGCAACATTTTCCATCGTTTCTAACCATACCACCCAGACAGTTAAATTTCTGTACTTTCTTGACGTCCCCAACGTGCAGCTCACACTTTAGGTGATCTCTTTTGCTAACTTGTTTAAACGATTGTTAAAGACATCTTGGAGTTTTATAATCGGCATTAATTAAAAATTTTTCAATTTTTTTTTTCTTTTTCGATATCAATAAAGAAATAAACAGTCAAGTTTACGAATATCTAAAAAAAAAAAGAAAAATTACTAGTACTTTCAATTTGCTATGTAAATTGATCTCCCTGCGGAAGACATAACAAAATATGACCATACCACGTGACGTCCTGGTTATAACGATAAACGACATCCTGCAGCAAGACCTCTGATCGAGAGATTGGAGATTTTGAAAAGCGTGGGAACACTTCTTAATTGCCGTTGTTCACAGATTCACCTTGACTCGTTAGGGTCACAGTAATGGAAAAATAGGGACCACCCAAACAAAAATAAACAGTACATAAGCAACAATAATTTTTTTCTAGCAATATAATAATCAATGCAACACTAATAAATGCAAAAATACATTATTATAGTAGAATTACAAACATTTTATGGTCTACAAACTATATGAAAAAAACAACTTTACTCTGAAAATATAAAATGTACAAAATATCAATTTGAAAACATAAAATCACGTACAAAATATGCAGATTCCGGCATTAAATAACCCATAGAGGTTGATATGCCACCAAACAAATTCAACCAACAATACCTATTTATAGTAAATTACCAACAATATATATAGAAAAATTACCAACAAATATATTTGTAATGACAAAAGTACTCAGGTGTAGGCTTTTAGAAAACTTTATTCAACTAAGAATACAAAGCTCGCGTATAATGTCCTTTTATCGTCCCAGAAATAACTCTCTCAAATAGGAGAGTAACAAAACAAGGGAAGACCACTCTTCATTATCCATAACAATACTTAAAACTAGATTGCCAACAATACATTTTATCCGTAGAGGAAACCATAAAATTGTGTTCAAAATATTTAGATTCTCGGCATTAAATAACCCATAGAGGTTGATATGCCACCAAACAAAATCAACATATCACGTGATTTCTGAAAATATAAAAAAATATTTTTCTTTTTTAGTTCGTAATCTGGAGTACTTAATAGATAGTAATATATAAAAACCAATATCCAAATTACGAATTTTTTAATTTTAATTATTTTTTTTTATATACATTTTAAGAAATTATCTATTTTTTAAAAATATATTACTATTGGTTAAACCCCGCAGATTACGAATTTTAAAAATAAATTTTATTTTTATTAGCAGATCTAGATTTCTTCTCTACTGCTCCCTCTTTATTAAAACTTATTCACCGTTCTCTTGATGGTTCTTGAATTGACTTTAAATAGAGTATGAATGTTTGTACCATTACTGAAAACCTGAATGATCTTTTTCCTCTCACCATTGCTCAGTTGAGAAAACAGTGGAGCTGACACAAAACGATTTTAATCTGTTCTCTTTCTAACTGAATAACTCGAAGGGTTTTCCAATGGTTCTTACAAATGGTGTCAAGATGGCTGAATGTCTTGTCTGAAAACCTGGAAAATAAACTCAGTTTGTGTTGTGTGTTTTAGATATTAAACATTTTGTGGGATGGACAATCCATTTGGACAATTTTGCCGTTAGAGCCGGTATATATAATATATATATATATATATATATATATATATGAGGCTGATGACGGAGGGATCGTAGGATTTAACCTCCACTGTGGAAGTGATTGACGAAGGCATCTGGTCACCAACTTAAACAACATTCTGTGAATTGGTGGCGAAACGGTTCGTGATGAGTGACGAAGGTTAACGCGCTACTAAGGCCGTCAAGGGATAGGAAGTTGTCGAGAGTAATAATCGCCTACGTCCTGAAGGGACACGGCACATAGAAGTAGGAAGTGGATATATATATATATATATATTTGTTTTAATGAAATTTTTGTACTTTCTGGATAATATTTTAGTTTCTAGCTGCCCGTGTCTGTTCATACCTCTCTTTCTCGTTTTGCCTGTTTCTGTCTTTCTTTAGCACTTTGACCTTTTCTCTCTCTCTCTCTCTCTCTCTCTCTCTCTCTCTTTAGCGCTTTGACTCTCTCTCTCTCTTTAGCGCTTTGACTCTCTCTCTCTTTAGCGCTTTGATATTCTCTCTCTCTTTAGCACTTTGACTTCCACTCTCTCTCTCTCTCTTTAGCACTTTGACTTCCACTCTCTCTCTCTTTAGCACTTTTTCTTCATCTCTCTCTCTCTCTATCTCTCTTTAGCACTTTGACTTCCACTCTCTTTCTTTCTCTCTATCTCTCTTTAAAACTTTGACTTCCACTCTCTCTCTCTCTCTCTTTAGCACTTTGACTTCCACTCTCTCTCTCTCTCTCTCTCTCTCTTTAGCACTTTGACTTCCACTCTCTCTCTCTCTCTCTCTCTCTCTCTCTCTTTAGCACTTTGACTTCATCTCTCTTTATTTGTCGGATTTATTAGTAGAAATCCGTCGCCTTAAAATTTACTTTGTTTGCGTTTGGATACCAAACTGAGCAACTCTGAACAGTTTCAAGTAATTTGATCGAGAAGGATTTTGCTAAAAAACCCGTTTCAACTGCTGCTTGGCAGAGTTAGTTAAGGCACGTCGCATCTAACAACGGTTTCCCTCTGCTCAGAAGGACGCGGGTTAGATTTCACGAATAGTTAGGCCGGTAGACGAAAATAAATTTTACTGTTAAATAAATAAATACACTGAGCATTTATGAATATCCACTGAAAATAATGTTTGAAGACATATATTTTTATAATCTAATATATATATATATATATATATATATATATATATATATATATATATATATATATATATATAATATATATATATATATATATATATATATATATATATATATATATATATATATATATATATATATATATATATATATATATATATATATATATATATATATATATATATATATATATATATATATATATATATATATAATTTAATGAAAAAACAAACCACTTTTAAAGTACCATTACAATAATTTATTTCACCAAAATCCCTTTTAAAGGATTTCGGATCATCAGGTAACACTTCCAACAATGAAATGAGAGGAAAAATGGGATTAGAAATTGATGGGTAGTGTAATTTATGTAATTAAACAGGAGGGTGAAAGTGAAGGTTAAAGAGACAATACAGAGTATAGGGAGGGTTAAATTTATATCTCTCTTAAATAAGATTTTTTATATTGAGGTAGGAGGAGGACTAACCTTGACCTATTTATATGGTTAAAAAAATGGAAGTGATATGTAGGAGTAGTGAGAAAAGGAAATAAAGTAAAAGGAAAAGAGAAAAAAAATGGAAAAATGCAGACGTATCCAAATGAGTTTTATGGCAAAGAGATAGGGGGAGAGGGAAGTGAATCTATCTATCTATCTATCTATCTATCTATGAAAAGTGTATATAAATATAAATAAATATATATATATGTATAATTATTTATATATTATATGCGCGGTACTTATTAGAAAGTGCTCAATATCCAACCAAATATATATATATATATATATATATATATATATATATATTCTCAAAATGTGCGTGATCGGATGTTGTTTATGCATTTCCACAGTTTTCATCCGATTTTGATGAAATTTTTCTTTGATAGATAATTTTTCAGTGCCGGTTTTGAGTCCAAATTGTTGGTGACAGTGGCTCTCCACTACTTCCTGTCCATTATAATTCTAAGCAACGTTTTACTATTTAATATCTGTTCTTGGATATACATCTTTCATAAAACTTTAATAAAAATAAATCGTTTAAATTATTACAATAATATTATACAATTCTCTTTTCAGTGTCATCCCACCCTGTTCAAATTGTTAACTCCCCATTTGGGGATATGCCTCAGTTTCAGCCGAATCTTGTTACTAATATTGATTTTCAAGTGGGTTGACTTTAAACTGCTTCAACTAAGCGGCAAAAATTCCTAGTAATGAAAGACCCGGTAAAAGACTGGTTATACTACTGCTGGTGTATATATATATATATATATATATATATATATATATATATATATTGTTATTTATTTATATTAATGTGAGTTTGTGACCTTTTTTTGTCACGCTTTTGCGATCGTGACGATCGCAAAAGCGTGAAACACAGGCTACAAACTCACATCAATCCAACCATATATGATAGCTCTATCTCTGATATTGAGCGCTTTCTAATAAGTACCGCGCATATAATATATGATTAATTATATATATATATAATCGACTCTCCCGTCGCGTTCGACGTATGAGGGTCAGGCCGATAAGTCCCCAGGAAACCAACATCCCGACACCGGCACATGAGATTTGTTTATAGTGGTGAAGGCCTTGTGCAGGACCAGCCACACTTTTTGGAGGGACGAATACAGAAACCTGGTGCACCGAATGCATGCCACAAGGTTCCCAAACGACCCTCCGCAGGTTTTGAATTCAGAGTTGTCCTTCTCCTAGACCAGTTGCCATCCAAGGCTATAGAACCCAGTCTGTCCTGCTATTTTACCCATAGCTGGAGGGAGATGAAGAGGATACATACCTTTGTGAATCATATATATATATATATATATATATATATATATATATATATATAATTATTATTTTCAATTCAAAAAACAAAAAATGATAATAATAATATTTTATACTTACTTTTAGTTATATATATATAGATAGATAAAAAAAAAAAAAAAAATAGAATATATATATATAAATAATACACATTAATGTTCAATATAATTAATTTTAAAAATCTATTTTGGTTATAATTTATTTCACAATATATTTAAATATTCATCTTTCAGACGGAAGTTAAAGATGTTTTTTTAGAATTATTTTCCGGGTTGAAGGTATGAATATTTAAATATATGAAGGAAATAAATTAGAACCGAAATAGATTTTTATGATTAAACTTATTATTATTGTTATTTCTGTTATTTACATTGATGACTTTGTATTAATAAATCCTTAGAATTATTTATTACCAAATGGTATTATTCAAACACACACACACACACACACACACACACATATCATACGCAATATATACTCCTTTTATTTCTTTTTTTATAACTCTCTTTATATATATAAATATTTCTATCTAATCCTGTTGATATTTCTCATTATTTTAATGCCGGACATATGGATAAACAAATTAGCCTTCTGCTTGAACAGAAACGGAAAGGGGAAAATATTTTGTAAATATGTTAATACGCACTCGTACATATTTACTTCACAATACCAAAAGTATATTTCCATATAAATATTCTATCTATCTATCTATCTATCTATCTATCTATCTATCTATCTATCTATTTCAGTCTGTTCATATCTCTAAATTTTTTATTGTTCCTATCTATATGTTATTTCTCTCTCTATCTCTTTCTCTCTCTCAAATCTACAAATATATACATATATAATGATTTCATCCTTCTCTTTTTTTTTCTATCGCACTCTCCATAAATCTATAAATCTATCTATCTATCTATCTATCTATCTATTATCTATCTATAATCTATCTATCTATATATCTATCTCAGTCTGTTCATGTCTCTCTATTTGGTGAATATGTTCGCTTATATGTCCAAATCGTTGATATGTATCCGCACGTCTGAGCGAAGATGGGTCTTATGCTCACTCAACCTTACACATCTCCTTGTAAATGTCTGCGCCAGCGCACACTCTCTCGCGGGGGTGGACACTTACTTCCGGAAATAGCATCATGATGTAGTAAGTCGGAAAGCCAAACTATTATTTTTAGTGCTAATGCCTACCACCAGAATAAATGTATCCACAGTTGATTTCTTCCAGACTGTTTCGCATTGTAATTCATCTCCACCTCAGAGTACTGATTCCCTCTACCCTCACACCCAACTGTACACATGGCTATGAATTAACGAAAGTAGTTAAGGTGTTTTTGTTTATTTGTTTGTTTGTTTGTTTTTTGTTTTGTTTTGTTTTGTTTTGTTGTTTTTAATCAGGGGACATTCGCCAGTGTCATTTGAACAATATGATCTGTTTATAATAAAATATCTGTTTATAATATTATATTTTTTGTTCTGTTTTTAAATATTTCACCCCAGACAAGGCAATAAAGCCACTAAAACGGATGGGGTTTACTGCATTTGAAAATATATGAGAAAAAAAAAATCTCATATGTACATTTTGGGGTGACCATTATTACATAGTCTATGGTGTAAATTCCTGTTTTAAGTTTTTTTATGAATATTGATAATAAATAAATGAGAAAAAAAATAAAAAAAACGATAATAACCTCCTAGTTTATGCCATATTGTGTAGGAAACTGCATCTGAAGACATAATTCTTTCACCCGCGAGCAAGGCAATAAAGCCACCAAGACACAAGGGTTACTAAGTGTGAAAAAATATGAGAAAAAGAAAATATTAAGGAGAGGGAACAATTAAACAGATAATTCAGATGACGTAATATGGTCATTGGCACTGTATTTAAATTTTTGAAGATGAAAATTGATAGGAAAGAAAGAGGCCGGAATAGTTCCACAAGCGAGAAGTGCGAGAGAGAAAACTGTTAGCAGAGAACTTAGGGTTACGTCTAGCGATTTCAACTGTAAGATGATGAGACCTAGCCGCCAATCGAGTACCGCGCTTTAAATTCATAAAGCCTAGGAATGAAAGAGCAAATCTCCCCGGGACAATTACCATGAAAATATCTATGGAAAGATACAGGGAAGATACGTCACGGCAGTGGGAAAGTAATTGAAGTCGAGATGCCATGTCAAGAACAATAACATTGAAGATAAACTTCTCTCTGTTAATCATCTGAAAGACCTGTCCCTGTTTTCCATTCATATGGCTAATGCTAACCTCCAGGAAACTGATTCTGGCTAACGTTCTCAGCTGACATGAAGTGGAATGACTATATTGAATCCATTGCTAGGTCAGCTGCTAAGGAAGTTGGATTACTTTGTCGTGCGAAACAATTTTTCTTTTCAGAATCCATTTTGCATATCTATAAGTCTACCATTCGTCCATGCTTAGAATATTGCTGCCACATATGGTCAGGTGCCCCTGCTATTTACCTTGAGTTCCTTGATAAGATCCAAATAAGAATCAGCAATATTATTGTTTCTGATCTGGTGGCTCAGCTTCAGTCTCTTTCCCATCGCCATAATGTTGCCTCTCTGTGTCTTTTCTATAAATACGTTCATGGTGATTGTTCATATGAGATATTCGTTATAGTACCTGATTTTTTTTTTAAGTAAGTACAGTACTAAATTGGCATCAAGATCTCATCAATTTACAGTTGATCTGGCTAGATGTGGCCATTAGTTCTGTGCTAATAGTTTCTTTTCTTCCTTATGGAACTCCCTTCTGACTCCATGCTTTCCAACCAACTTTAATCTGGAGCTAGCTAGATGTAGACGTAACTTCTATGCTGACTCCCTTTTTTCTTCAGTTAAAATTTTTGACGAAGAAAGGCTAATCGTTTCTCAGTGACATGAAGTGGAAAATTATATTGAATCCATTTAGAAAGCTGATAAGAATGTTGGTTCACTGTGTCATGCTAGACAATTTTTTTTCTAAAAAAAAAAATCCATCTTACATATCTATAAGTCTACCATTCGCCCATGCTTAGGATATTGATGGGAAACATGGCCTGGTGCTTTTGTTATGTATTTAGAGAAAATTGATAAAATCCAAAGAAGAATATCATTGGTCCTGGCCTAATAAATATTGGCTTCTTTTTTTTCCCCCATTGCTATCAATTTGCTTCCCGATGTGCATTTTCTATAAATACTTTTCATGGTAATTGTTCAGATGAACTCTTCACTATTTTATTTAATATTTTCTTGTAAATAGTTTTGTTTTTTTTTTTAAATACGCATTGGGGTTAGATTTTTAAATTGTTGTTTTATCTACCCCTACCCAGACAATGAATTTTATATATTGGGATTAGTTAGGACTTCATGGAGATTCTGAGGTATTATGGTATATTTAGTAAGAATGGTAAGTAAGAATATGATAATCTATAAAAAACAAATTAATCCTTATTATTGGCATACCAGTGTTTCAGCTATTTTGCTCCTGATTCTTCTTCAGAAATGTGTCATCCAGAAATCTAAAATGGGATACACTTGTCTTGATCCGCATTCTCTGCTCTCTATTAATCACCACAGAGATCCTTCCCTGCCCTCCATTAAAATGTCTGATGCTCAACTTCTCTGTGGCTGCTCGGTCTCACATTGACTGCTGACCTGAGATGGAACAAATACATTGAGTCAATTGCTTCGTCCACCACAAGGAAAGTTGTTGTGCCTGCTCAGGATAATGTTCTCTGCTGACATGAAGTGGAAAGACTCTATTGAATCCATTGCTAGATCAGCTGATAAGAAAGTTGGATTGCCGAGTCGTGCGAAACAATTTTTCTCTCCAGGAATCTATCTTAATGTCTCTAAGTCTACCATTTGTCCATGCTAAGAGTATTACTGCCACATATGGTCAGGTACCCATGCTATTCACCTTGAGTCCTTTGATAAAATCCAAGAAAGAATCAGCAATATTATTGGTCTAGACCTGGCAGATCGGCTTCAGTCACTCTCCCACGTCTTAATGTTGCCTCCCTTTGCCTTTTCTATAAATACTTTCATAGTAATTCTTCAAAGCTTTTTCGTATTGCCTATATATAAAAATTTTTTTCATTTTTTCATTCATGCTAGATTAAAAAAATGATACCTCATCAATGTACTTGTTTAAGGCCACTAATTTCTAATTAACAGTTTCTTTGGAAAATTCTTTATGCTTGTGGAAATGACTTTTCTCGGCTCCATACTTTCCGGCCAACTTTAATCTATCTAAAAAAATTCAAAAACAATGTCAATCGCTATCTTCTGTCCTCCTGATTACTCTTTTCTCTTCCCGCTCATTATTAATGTTTCTTTTCCTAATTCTTCCACACTTGGTAATCCCTTGTGTTTTAGTGACTTTATTGCCTTGCATGGAGTGAAACAGATTTAAAAAAAAAAAAATCTTTGCATTTTATTAAGAATTTCTAAATGCATAGTGCTATGGTCCGGTTCCTTGTACCACGGTGATAGTCCAAGGTAGAACCAATAAAGAAGAACTCGAACACAGGTATGGAATAACACAGATATATTACAAACAGGAATATATACAGAGAAGTAGAAAGTGTTAGTATGAACAATCAGGTTTAGTAGAGAGAACAATGTAGTCTCGACCAGTATCACTATTCCAATGTCTTGCAGTAATTGTCTGAACGCGACTCTGTTTCAGACTGCCTCTGACTTGACTCGACTTGAACTACTGACGATATTCAGTCACCCCCCCCCACGTGGACCTCATGTGGCACAAGGCCGGTTTAACGTGGGATCTTAAAAGAAAAGTAGGCTCGGCAAAAATATGCCCATTGAACCCGTATAAACGAGTTCAACAAATTTTTAGCTCCCCGAAAGAGAATCCGCCCATCGGCGTAGCCTCGTTCGGGTTCCTCCCCGCCCGAAGGCAGAGTTCAACCGCTCAGCCGGTCAAGAGTTGAACGACTGACTCCTTGTCTACTCCTGAGGCGCAGTATTTAAGTATGGAATAGTCCATTATTATTATTATGGGTAAGATCCCATAACACATAGCAGAAGCACCAGACAGATGGAGGCCTTCTTTCACCGATTTCCCGCTGCGTGGACAGAATCTTCGGTCTTGTTCCGTAGTGGTGTTATGACAGGCTATGACTAGCTTAGATAAGCTCTGACAATCTATGACCAGCTTAGACCAACAGCCTGAGTGGAAACACTCAGGTCCCCACGTTAAAAACCGACCTTGTGTCACAACCTGGCTCGGTGTGGGGTCAAGGTAAATCCCGAAAATAGAGTTTGGAGAATTTTTTATTTTTCTCATTTTTTTTCTTTCGGCAGGCTGTCTCGAATTTGAACTAGTCAGGCCGATTCTGCTTTCCATGCTGACATCCGTTATGCTATTTATAGATTTCTGTTAGTCTCCATCGCCGTGGAAATTTCATGATTTTATTTATCTTTTCAAAACGCAAACAATCATCAAATAAACCGACATCTTGTTTTTTTTAACTGCTTGATACTAGAATATTTGTTGCATATCTTTCAACAGGGTATCAATTAAACGCAACGCGAAAAAAGATCATGAAATAAGCCTACCGTTCCTAAATTATTGCTTAAAACTAGAATATTAGCTATATTTTTTATCAGAATTTTCGTCTTGTACAAGGCCCAAACAGGTAAAGGGTATACATACTAGGAGACATCATACTTAAGCAAGATGATAATGCTACCAAGACACAAGGTGCCACCGGAAGCTCAATATTAAACAGGAAATAAGGAATAAACCTCTACTCCTGTCCAAGCATGGGAACCAGGCGATAGAAAAAAGACCTATCAACTCCTATTGAGGAAAAAAATGTAAATAAAATTTCAGTGTTTAGGCGGAGACGTTAGGCGTATCAAACTGAAGCAGAATTTAGAAGGAAGCAAAAACCCAGTCCTAAACAAGGAAATAATTTCTACTCTCATTCAAAAGATCGAGGAGGAGTGTGAACCGGGCGATAGGCAAACCAATCTACTCCTATTGAGGAAAATAAAAATGTAAATAAATAGTAAATAAAAGTTCAGAGGAGTTTTAGGAAGAGACGTTAGAAGATTGAATTGAAATAAGGGAGCCGGTAACCCAACCCTAAACAGGAAACAAAGGAAAAACCACTAATCCTGTTCAAAAGCTCGAGTAAGAACGTGGGCCGGGCGATAAACAAACCTGTCTTCGGTAATTACAGCCGATAATAACAGTACCCTTTATCATGGCATTAAATGTAGCTGCCGTTAAACATGTTTGCTTTTATGATCTTTTCACTCGCATAACACTACAAAATTTTAAGATACATATTTAGTTCCTAAAAATTAAAATTATTCCCAATTGTTCCAAGACGCAAACTTTGGCTCTTTATTCCAAACCAACTGCTAGGTCGGCTTCTAAGAAAGTTGGTTCACTGTGTCGTGCAAGACTATTTTTCTCTCCAAAATCTATCTACCGTTCGCCTATGCTTAGAATTTTGCTGCAACATATGGTCAGGTCTTCCTGCAATATATTTAGAGATTCTTAATAAAATCCTAACCTGACGTCTCGGCTTCAGTCACTTTCTCACCGCCGTAAATTTGCTTCCCTCTGCCTTTTCTATAAATATTCTTATGGTAATTGTTCGAATGAGCACTTTACGAGGGTACCTAGAATTTACTATGTACTAGATTAGCAAGAATATCTCATCTTACGGTTACATCTAGTCAATTCAACCGTAAGTTCTATGCTAACAGTTTCTTCTATCGCACTTCTCGCTTGTGAAACTCTCTTCCAGCTCCATGCTTTCTGACCAACTTGGATCTTCAAAATTTAAATACGACGTCAATCGTTATCTTCAGTCTTCCTGATTACTCTTCTGTTGTTCTCGTCTCTTCATGTTTTTTTTTCCCAAATCTTTCACACCCATGAACCCCATGTGTCTTAGTGGCTTTACAAACTTATATCCAAAGCCCAGACAAAAGCAATCCATCACTGTCAACATACAACACTCACGTGGCACACCAGCCAATCTCTGACTACTTTGGTAATGGCATTTGCTGGGGGTAAAGGGTATCTCTCCCAAGGGTATTTACGCGTAAGTAAATTTAACGAACCCAACTTGAACTAGAAATCGACTCTCCGATTAACAATTCCGAGTCATTATCTATGAAAACACCTGGTATTTCCAGGCTTTCACCCATCTAGGTACTGATCAGGCCCGACGTTGCTTAACTTCGGTGATCCTACGGGAATTGGTGTTACAACAAAATGTGGCCGTAATCCCCGCTTTATCAGATCGATGGGTAAAAATTGCTTCGAGCCAATGAAGTGTGTATGTTGTAACCTAGGGAAGGTAACTGAATAGAATAATCACACAAAGGTTGATAATGAACGATAATACTTAGGACAAGAACAACACCTATAAGATTCGCCAGCGGCGCGTAGAAGTAGTCAACTGCTAGAAGTGAGTCAAGTGAATTCCACAATGAATCTCCAACTGCAGGATATCTACCAACCGTCCCACGCGGTCAGATGTGGCAGAAGGCCGAATTTAATGTGTGGTATCTGAGCTCGAGTCTCGACCAAAAATTCCCCGTAGACCCCGTATATAACTGTTGGGACGCACCCACCTTCTAACTAGTAATGGACTGGTCCCTCTTATATAAGTCAGCTCTGGAGAGAGAGTGAGAGAGCGTCAGAGAGAGAGTCAGCGTGAGCAGTCCAGATAAGCTTACCCGTTACATACCGTTGGACTATAGACTTTGGATATTGTTTCGTACTAACCAACCTTCGTTCTACTAATCACTCTATTGTTAATTGCTTTTAGGAATATACCAGTATTTTCCTCTACAACTGTGTTTGTCTTGATTCATACACCGACACGCGGGAAACTCACAACATCTCAATAACGGAGTCAGATAACTGTTTGTCGAGACGAAACTCTGCGCTTCGACATAGCCTTGTCTGAGGATCCTCTCTGCCCGGGAGCAGGGAGTTTGATCAGCAAAGCTGGAGACGAATCTCCAACTGCAGACCAACATACAGTATTTACTACTGCATTCATCTGAATGGGAACATACTCATTATCGACCGTAATTTAAGGACTTTCAACACAGGCAACGACTAAAATGGATAGCACAAGTATATTGATGAAAGAATGACATAATGAAGATGCTGTAGTTTCGCAAAGACAGAACCTCCGGTCAATACTGGAAAGAGCAATAACAGATACTAGATTTGAGAATCTTCTTTTTACTGAAAAATTGTTTAAAGAGAAATGTTATAAATGTCAACATTGATGCTCGGTCAATGAATGCCGAATGTTTCCTTATAAAGAAACGGGAGTAGTGAGTTTGATTCTCACTGGGCGCCCCCTAAATTCGGCCTTGTGCCACATCTAAGCTATGCTTAGAAAATCTCTATAAGGAAACGGCTAATATTATAATTGCCAACGTATCAGTCATATACAAGCACGTATCCAGGATTCAAATAATTCACTTTTAAAGAAAATATTGCACAAGGCCTGGAGGAGATGGAAAATATTGATCTTCATCTCTTAAATCAAAACTTAGCTAGCCACAATCCAAACATATAATAAATTTCCTTAAACCAAAACAACACATTATTACTACAGTCACTGTATGAAGTCTTAACTAATCCGCAAACGAATGAATTCTTCAGGTATTAAAAAAGACTGTCGAATCCCGAAGACTGGCGCTACAGGATCACAGAACTTTACCCAAGAACAGAAACCACATGACTTGAAGACTGAAATAGATAGTACAGGTAACACGAGGAATAAATAATGACTTAAACAAGAATCTGACATTCCACACTACCTGAAACAAAAAGTTAAGAAGGAAACTCCCATCACTACTAGAAAGAGCGATAACAGTTAGGGGAACTGAGAAACGTATTTTATTGAGAACCTGTTGTACAAGAAAGTTTTTATAAATTTCAACTGAGAGCAATGCTAACTGTTCGGTCAAAGAACACCGAATGTTTGCCTATAAGGGATCGGCTAATTTCACTATTACTTTGGTCCCAGCTGATCTTCAGATTAGTGAAGAAAAGCCCAACTCGAGTAGCGCTGGATGCTCGGCGAACGAATGCCGAATGTTTCCTTATAAGAATACGGTTCACCTGACCGCTACAATTAGAGTTGAGGACAGATACTACACTTTGTTCCCAGTCCAATGTCCACAGAGTGAAGAAAGGCGTAACTCAAGTAGCAATGGCTGCTCGCTTAACGAATGCTTCCTCATATGGAAACAACTCATCTATCCATTGTTATTAAAGAGGTGAACAGATACTACACTTTGGCCCTAGCCGATCTGCAAGAAGTGAAGAAAAGCCTAATTCAATTAGCAATGGATGCTAGTCAATGAATGGCAATCTCTTCATTACCACGAGGGATGGAGATAACATATGCTACACTTTGATCCCAGTCCAATGTCAATAAGTGAAGACAAGGCTAACTGGAGTAGAACGCACTGCTCGGTTAATGATCGCCTTATGAGGAAACGGCTTTTTTGCCAATTACCATTATAGATGAGAACAGATACTACACTTTGGTCCCAGCCGATCGTCAAGGAGTAAAAATAAATGTGTAACTAAATTAACAATGCTTGTTCGGTGAACGAATGCTGAGTGTTACATTGTAAAGAAATGACTTTTTTCCCCGATGGCCTTTATAGATGAGAACAGATACTACCCTTTGGTCCCAGCCGATCGTCAAGGAGTAAAAAGAAATGTGTAATTAAATTAACAATGCTTTTTCCCCAATTACCATTATAGATGAGAACAGATACTAAATTAACAATGGTTATTCGGTCAATGAATGCTGAATGTTTCCTTGTAAAGAAAGAATTTCTCTCACTATTATATGTTTGTCAGACTATTTATTCTGTCTGTATCTGATGTTTAATGATCTTATCAATCAAACTAAACACACCGAAATCATCAATTCCCTGCCTTGCACATCACTGCGTGATACTAGAATATTGCTTGTCTATTTTTGCAGTTACACATATTTATGCTTTTTTACATGATGTTAGACATCACGCTCAAATCCCGAAATAAATGTATAGTTCATTTTATCTCAGCTTGACACCAGAGCATTGGCTGCTCTCGCTGCAGTTGGCCATACTTACGCTTTTCATGATGTTATTAATCACAGTGAACACCAAAAGCCTTCAACGCAATCTGTATCTCGTGTATCATTTCTTCATAGTCTAATATTTGTTACTTTGCTTCCAGTCGGCCATATTTATGATCTTATCGATTTCAGCACACCAAAAGCGACAACTAAATCTACAGTTTGTATATCGCTGCTTGATACAGGACCATTGACAATTTACGCTGCAGTTAGCCATATCTACATGTGTGTATATGTTTTATTATTAACCTATCAATCAAGTCCAATACCCAAGATTCTTCAAATAAAATTATACTCTATAAAAATAAAGCCCTTACGGAAACTGATGATGGAACATGCAAAACATAAATCCAAAGACACTTGAATAGCAAAAGCCTTTTTTTTTTGTAACAATAATGTTCGCCTTATTTACACTATTTACATTGACCGGACTGTTATCCCAATCTTTATTGTCATATTCACGAACTTTCAGCCGTTGTACGCTCCGGGCTTCTTCAGTTGATATACACTGTAATTTTGAACCGGAACGTCTATTTAGCCCACGGTGGTAGTGTTCTAGTTTCACGTGCCATGCCTTTTCTGGATAACTCAGTTTTCAGTTATTTCCCTTTAGTAACTGAACTCGCCAAGTTTTTTTTTTTTTTTTTTTCACCTCTGCTGTGACCAGGAATTGAACTCTCAACTTTTTGGCCCAAGTCACATTTTGGATTACTTCAACCAACGCTTTTATCCACTGGTGTCGTTGGGCACACAAGGAGATTTGACTGAATTTTTAGTTTACAGCACATCGCAAACTTACCATAATGTTCTGACAACGTTGATGATGAGTGTTCAATTTGGCGCCCGGAAAATAGTTGTTTAGAACGTTACAGTAAAGTCACTACAAAGCTACATGTCCCGCAACCAAATTACAACATATCTGCAACGTTACAAAAAAGTTCGTTGATAGCTAAGAAAGCTCAAAGATGGAGATCTGAACCGTTGTATATTGGAAATGATGAAAGATATCTTACTGGAATTCTCTGAGATTTTATAACATTATTGGACTCTATTTTGAGCAATAAGAATCTATAATTACTCTTCAAGCTTAACAGAATTATCTAATGTACGATACATTTAAAAACGAAACATGAATATTTTGAATTTGAGTCCTGCGTTTCTGAAAAATTTTAACCCATCGGCCTGAGCTCCCGAGTCAAAATTCAGATATAATTGATATGTAGTGTTTCACTGTAGATATAAAAATAGTTACAAGTGTTTACCAACAGTTCAACCGGTAGCTGAGCATTAAGTTATTTTTTCTCTATCACCGTTCAACCGGTGGCTGGGCATTACGTCATTTTTCTCTACCGCCGATAAAGCGGTTTTCAGGGCTCAAAGGGATAAATTTTTGTTCGTTTTATTTTTGTTTTTTTACGTAATATTGAACAATTTCTGTCTATATCTCTGAGATGAGGTATGATTATTTACATTATTCGGACTGTTATCCTCATCTTCATCAAAGATCCGAGTTAACGGTAAATTGTAAACACAGTCCACCTGGTGCTATATAGCGTGAGGTCTACCTCAATATAGCGTGAGGTCTACCTCCCGTTTCACGTATTTAGAAAATGTGAGACAGCCGTAAATATACATGTTAGACCCCACCTGACCCTAACCTTAATCCTAATCCATGTTAGACCTCAGTGACCTAATGGACACGTCTGGGGAAGTGCACGGTATATTCAGGTAGACCTAAGCTACAGTAACACCGTCTACCTTTTACCTTAATATTAAGTTAGACTTGGAATTTGACAATGTTTTTTCTTAGATTTTAGTTGAAATTTGTTGCACCACATATGGCTTATCTTTCTATCTATAAGATTAATTTGGATTTAATATAATTTTGTATTAATTTCCTGGTAGTATTAGTAACATCTTGTCTGGATGTGTTGGTATTTGGTCGGTATTTTTGACATTTAACTTTGATTGGTTATTGTTATTAACATCTTTATATGAATAATCTTTAGTCAACAGTTGCATATTAATTTACCAAGTAATTCTATGCGTTTAAATTATTTACTAGTTTCTTAAAGAAGCTATATATCTATCAACTATAAGAAAAATTATGTAGGAAACTC